AAGGCAAATGCTATCTTAGGATGCATTAGTGGGAGCACAGAGAGCGGAGACTTCATCAGAGGAATTGATTGCTCTATTACATTATCCCCTGCTCAGACCCATTTGGAGTACAGTTCTAGGCACTATAGTTCAAAAATTAGAGCATGTTCAGAGGAAGGCTATGAAGGAGCATGGAAACAAAGCCTTAAGTGGGATGATTAAATTATCTGGGCAGACTTAACCCACATAAGAGATAAATAAGATATTGTATCGTACACAAAAGAGAGAGTGGACTTATTTTCCACTATTCCACAGCGTAGAACCAGTATTAATGGGTAAAAATTACAAGGAAAGAGATTCAGACTAGAGTAAGCCCCTCAGCCATTGCAAGATTTGCTATATGGAGCAAATCTCCTTCCATAGAGGTCTTCAAACAGGCTGTATAATTATCTGTCAGTGCTATAGAGTGGAACCTGCACTGAGCAAGGGATTGGGCTTCATGATCTCTTACGATACCTTCCAGCTCTATAATTCTGTGAATCTAAGAATACAGGATTTAGAGTGGAGAGTGCAACAATACCCTTCCTTTTTACTCAGCTTCCCCATTAAGCACTGATGACAGCTTCTGAGGAAGGACAGCCCCTCCTCCCTGGCCCTGCTTCCTGCCTCTCCTCCTTCAAAATCTCTTGGCTTGAATTCAGCTCCCTGCAGTACATAGTTTGAATCTATGTTCTGAATATTTTCTAGACTAGGCTACAAGTTGTCCTCTTCTGAAATCCTGGGATTTCAGAAAACCAAACTGTTTAGGATAACCAAAAGGGGAGGCATGTCTAAAGAATTTCCTAGTGGGATTTGCCCATGAACCAGACAGGTCTTGGGCCTGTATTCCATGACACCCTATGTAGACTGCTTGAGGAGATTAACTGGTCTGAAATCATGCAACTTTTCTTATCATGGTTCAAAGTTGTCTAGGCCTAGGAAAAAGTGAGCTATACCCCATTCTTGAAGTTACGACTATTGCACACATACATATGCACACCCTGGTCATGTGATTGTAATTTGGGCACTTGGCAACTGGCTGGCATTTATGACAGCTGTAGCATGTTGCAATCATGTGATCACAATTTGCGACTTTCCCAGACTGCTTCTGAAAGTTAAAGTCAATTGGGGAAGCTGGATTCACTTAATGACCATGTGATTCACTTAACAACCTCAATAAAATGGTCATAAAATCAAGTCTGGTCACATGACAACTTGCTTAACAATTACATCACTTAATGATCCAAATTCAGGTCCCAGTTGTGGTCATAAACCGAAGACTGCCGTACAGCGTTCTAATCTAAGAGACTGCTACCGTCCTCGACTTACAATCATTTATTTGGTGACCAAAGTTAATAGGGCACTGAAAAAAGTGACGTGTCTGTTTTTCACACAGCCATTGGAGCATTCAGAAGCTTGGCAATTGGCATGTATTTATGTTGGTTGGAGTATCGCAGGATCTTGTGATCACCTTTTGTGGCCTTCTGACAAGCAAAGTCAATGTGGAAACCACATTCACTTAACAACTGTGTTATTAACTTAACAACTGCACTGATTCACTTAACAACTGTAGCAAAAATGTTGTAAAATGAGGCAAAATTCACTTAACAACTATCTTGTTCAGCAACAGAAATTTTGGGCTCCATCGTGGTCGTAAGTCGAGAACTACCTATATTTGTCTACCTTTGCAATTGGGTTTAGCAATAACTGAATCAGAGACTTTAAATCTTACTCTTCATACAATGGAAACATGAGAGTCATCTGTCCCACATTGTTCTATTTCTGTCTGGGAAATCCTTCTCTATGAATATGCCTGGCTAGGAACATGAAGTTTAATTTATGAATCAGTAATGTTTCTTTCCTTTTAGACGGGGAAAATATGAAAACAAGCAAGTCTTGTTGCATTTATAGTTTCCATCAGACGGTTCTCCATTTATCTCTCATCTGCCCTAATGCTACAGGACTGCCTGCAAAATTATTAAAAATTGACAAGCTCCTCCTTATCACTTTAGTCTAAAATCCAGTGTTGGCCAAACTAGAACCTTGTATAAAATGTATAGTTAAAGGACCATTTGTTTAGCTACCATTCAAAATTACAACAACACTGAAGGAGACTTACGACCAGCCCTTAAAGTTGCAGCCATCATAGTGTCCCCACAGTCATGTAATCATGATTCAGGTATTCATCAGCCAGCATGCAAGTATAATGTCACAAAATCCCATGGTCATGTGATCACCATTTCCAATCTTCTTTGCTGGCTTTCTACAAGCGAAGTCAATGGGGAAGCTGGCAGGTGGTTGCAAATGATGACCCATGATATCCTCACTTAATAACCCACAGAGGTTCACTTGATGATGATAACAAGAAGTACTGAAATTTCCATTGCTAAGTGCTGCAGCCACATGACACCGCACATTACTTAGCAATGGAAATTCTGGCCCCAATTACCATTGTTAAGTGATGCCTGCTGTATATATAAATGTATACCTATATGATTTGTAGAATAGCAAAAGAGGATCAGCTTTGGTAACTGCAATTCTTTGGTGCAAAATAGGGCCAGTTTTCATGATAGAAAGAGTTGCAAAACTGAAATCCCCAATCAAATTATTGCTTGTCTTCAAGACAGCTTGCCTTCCTTTCAAGTAAAAGATTCCAGTGTTTCTGTGGGAAGGAACTGCTCAGTGCGAGGCATACAGGAAGGAGGGCTTGCAAGTAGTGAGTGCAGCTGCCATGTGTTGGCCAGCAGCTGTGTGGAAGGAAATGGTCCTGGCTATAGCCCAGCACCATCTGGGATGTGTCAGCACCACAGCCTGGGAACAAAGAGCAGAGAGCTTGCTCAGGACACCTTAAGTATAGGGCTGTCATAGGAAGTTTGAGCATTCCCACAGGATAAATGGGTAAATTCTCCATCTTAGCTCTTTTTCAAAGCACTAAAATTAGGTGAGCAGAACAGGATTAATTGAAATTGATATTTAAAAAGTAGACCGTGAAATTCTTACTTTATCACTCTTTGATAGGAAATCCACAAATTCTTAATGGATGCCAGTTGTAAGTACCTTCAGAAAAATCCCCTCCATTCAACCCAGATTGACAGGAAATTCTAGTATTTCAGAGCGATGCAAATTCAGAATCTCCTTAAATAGCCTATGGTGTTATTAATGTTTATTTATATAGAAAACATAAACTATGTTTACCTTTTCTAAATTGTTATTTCTTTTTATAAGCCTGCTAGTCAGGAGTCACTATATCAAGGATTAAGTACTGCTATTGTTTTTTGTTATTCCTTTCCATCAAATGACAAAGTTCAAATCATTTTTGAATTTCCCATCCTAACAGATTTTTACATGTGACTACTTCCATTTCTTATAGAGAGGAAGATAAGTAATCTTGAACTTTTATTTTAACTGGGATTTGAGAAGCCTTTATCCTAGATTCAAATTTAACAGTTTAACTATATAGTGATCCATGACTGGCTTTATAAGACTATTTTAGGGTTATTTATCCAATGTTGACAATTTTAAGAGAAATTGAATGCATCCACATAATCTAAAAATGGGGAAAATTCAACCAGGTTTAATCATCAGGATGGCATCCAAAAGGCAGGAAAATGTTCTAAAAAGTGGAATTTTGGGACCCAGATTTTTTTGAACCAGCTGGCTGACATTTCACTAAGGCTGGTCAGTGTATTATATCACAGTCACAAAGACTAGATCTGTCTGGGTTCCAATTTTGTGATGTTATCCAAAATTTCTTGCCTAAGACAGCTGTGTCACCTTTGCTCATGGTAAGGCCATTTCCAGTCCTCTTATCCCAGATATTTAGATTCCCATGCAGTGATAGTCACATTGGGAAAGAGGAAATACGTAGCATTTAACTTCCATTATTTCACTTTTTAATAACTGTCTCAAAACCCTCTAATCAGGATTGGGACCATATTGTAGCAAAATGGAGAGCTAATCCTCTTCCTTCATGCTATTTTTCTCCTTCAAATCTCCCTTTGAAGGGAGGCATCATACAGCTCTAGAAATCTTCGCCTGAGGCCCAGAGATGGATGGTGTCAAGAGCAGCCTATCAGCTGGCTTTTAAATTGTTTTCTCTTTCTCTTTTTAACTGCTTTTATGTTGTGGATTTGGACCTGCAGTTTGCCAATTTTGTATAGCCAAGCTAAACCAGGAGCTTTTTCTCATACACTTTTTCGGCTCAGCTGCTTGAAACCTCTGGCACCAAATGCCAAGTTAGCTGCTTCATCTGGTCACTGAATTAATCCAACCTCTGGGTTTGCATAAACATTGAACCACACAGTTAAAGGCTGATTTGGAAAAAATGCCCAACTCGTTTATGAATTAATTCAATGTTCTGATTTTATAAATACATTGAACCACAAACCAACAATGTTGCTTATGCACGCTCTGCTGAACTACAAAAATAAATAAAGTCAGCATAGTGTGCAAATGCAGCTGTTAGATTATTAAATGATTTGGTTAAGCAAATCATGAGAACCCAGCCTTTATTAATTGGCTTTTTTTGTGCCACCAGAAAAATATGGGTTTCTGAATTATCTAAATACAGTAATTGATTTATTCCAAATTCTGCATACTGCTTCTTTTTTCCAATTACCACCTCAAGGTTTGGCAGGAAAGATTGAAGCAGGGCATACCACTGCGCTACTACTGTGCTAACCAAGAAGTTGAAGAAGAATAGAATATAATCTAAGCCTTTGTGATCCAAGAATTTAACTGCCAATATTTGCTGTAACAGTTTGACCTTTACAGCTTGTGTATTAAATATTTGCTATAGCATTGATTACATATTTAATTCTTTCAAATGAATTAAATCACTTGAGAGAGGGAATAAACATTCTCAAATGGAACAATTGTTCAGACATGTTGTGGCTGCTCAACTGTACATGTAAGCACTATACTAGTTAAAGGATGGAATCTTTTGCCATAATCTAATGTTACTTTCCCCTTCTTGTCTTCAGGCGATGGAGAGCAAATTGCTGATTGGCGGGAGGAACATCATGGACCACACAAACGAGCAGCAAAAGATGCTTGAGCTGAAGAGACAGGAAATTGCAGAGCAGGTAAGGACTGGCTGTGATTTGGATGAACTGCGGACTTCTCAACTTTCCTTCCGGGTGTCCCATTCTTTCTCAAACTAATATGAAATGGATATGACTTTGGCCTCTTTCAAAATACAAGCAACCTTTCAAGCAGATCATGGAGGCTAGACTGTAATGTTTGTCTATGGAGCCAGGGGTTGCTGATAATCCTCTGGTGGGAGGTAGCAGGATTGTATTCTGACACTGATTCTATAACACAGAAGCGGCGTGAACGGGAAATGCAACAGGAAGTACTTTTGCGGGATGAGGAAACCATGGAGCTCCGGGAGACATTCACTTCTTTACAGCAGGAAGTAGAAATCAAAACCAAGAAGCTCAAAAAGGTGAGAATCCTGCAGAAATCTAGTACACAGTAAGATTCAATAGTGTCAGAAAGATCCTACAGAACGTCCATTAGAAGAGATTGGTAGCTCTCTTTAGAGACAGGCTAATACATGTTTTAAGATTATTCTTTCCCAGGAGCCAAATCAGGAACAAGCTGTCTCCTGCAATAGATAACAGCAGGATCATGTTCAATTGGCAGAAGTTAGTCAGGAACCTTGAAAAGAACAAGGGTTCAGCTTCATATTGCAATTAAGCCTGAAGAGAATTCTCTCCTTTCTTATCATTTACCATCTAAATCAGTGGTTCTCAACCTATGGGTCGGGACCCCATTTGGGGTCGATCGACCATTTCACGGGGGTCGCCAAGCAAGGCTGTCCGCCATTTTTTCCCCCTTTTCCGGCGGGTGCTTTACCTCCCTTGAGCTGGGCCAGCTGGTGGTCGGCCTGCTCTGTCTCTGCTGCTTGCCAGCTACACCTTGGCCGGCGCAGGGGGCGGAACCATGCATGCGTGGCGCTCCTGGGCAGGGAAAGTCCTCGACTTACAACCGGTTGGGTAGTCCTCGACTTATGACCGGTTTAGTCCTCGACTTATGACCGGTTTAGTCCTCGACTTATGACCGGTTGGGGGTCGCGGCATTAAAAAGGTTGAGAACCACTGATCTAAATGTTGTCTTTATGACATCTAAGATGTATATAGAAAAGAGTATGCAGACTGATTCCTAGAGAGGCCATTATGGGTTGATGTATATTCAGAGATCGCTGCATACACACACACATACACCTTAGGAAGACTGTTTGATATCATGGGATGGGGTGATTGAATAGGCATCACATAATAGCATTGTCACTGAGATGAATGCTTCACAATTTCCCACAAGAACAAATAGCAACTGTTCACATGGATTGGAGAAAATAAAACATACACTGCTGCTAGTAAATTAGATGAGTTTTAGATGTCCCCCCCATCTCAAAATACAGATTATCCTACAGTATATAATGGAAGCTGTTAGAATTGGGACAGTTTCTGCATGTGTAGTTACAGCGGGGGTTTATCTTGCTGTAATCCCACTAGGACAAAATTTCAATGACTATTTCTATAAATACATAGGTAATAGGTAAATGCAAAACTTAATATTTCATTTACACTCTGTATGCAACCTTTGCTGTGTTTTTCTACACAATGGGTTTATTACTCCTGTTCTCAGATGAGGAATGGTATTTCTTACTAATAATCATTAAGATATTGACAGTGGAAGTACCATATGTTTCTTGTAATCATTGGGCTCCTTCAAAGAAACATCTACATT